GCTAGTACGGCTTGAAACCCCCAAAGGGGTAATATCCATTCTGTAATACGATGACCAGAACTGTGCAACATAATCTAAAGAGGCTAACCAAAGATATTAAAGTTTAAGAAACAACCTGAGGACTCCTATATTTATGCTTCTTGTTATGAAGTCAATTATTCTGTTCGCTTTATTGTGAACACTTATGCACTATTGGCTTTAGTTTTAGATTACGTACTACTAACCAGAACTCCCAAATTCTTTTCACATCAGTAATATTAAGATCTATGTTATTTAGTTTTATATGGCATGGTTATTTTCTGTCCAATGTTTTAGAATTTTGCATTTGTCTTACAATGGACCCTCGACTAACGCTATTAATCCGTTCCTGAGAGCTCATCGTTAGTCAAAATTATTCGTTAGTCAAGTTAATTTTCCCATAAGAAATAATGGAATCAAATTAATCCGTGTAGGACACCCAAAGTATGAAAAAAAATTGTTTTTTACCACATGAAATATTAATTTTAATTCACACAAACTGAAGAAGACATGCACAGTTACATGACACTTACCTTTATTGAAGATCTGGTGATGATTGCTGGGATGGGAGGAGGGGAGAGTGTTGATGGTCTTAGTGTTTAGAAGGGGAATCCCCTTGCATTAGGACTTGAGGTGGCAAGTCCTTTTCCGGGGTTACTTCCCTTCTCTTTAAATCTCTCAAACCAACCTTTGCTGGCCTTAACCCTTCGACTGTCGCAACCCCCAATCCTGAGGTGTCTCCTGGTGTCGCAAAATTAAACAAAAAAAATTATTTTTTCTTATGAAATGATAGAGAATCTTTTCCCGATTGTAATGACACCAAAAAAACGAAATTTGATGGAAAACTGACGGAATTATGCTCTCGCGAAGTTAGCGACCTCGGCGCTGTTTACAAATTGGCGATTTCGCCCACTTTGAGCCCTATTTTCGGCTAATTCCGTTGTTCCAGTCGCCCAAACTCATAGCTACTTCTTTAGAACTCCATTTTTTCTATCGATTGAGTATAAGAAACTGCCCATTTACCGATTTCAACTACCTAATAATGTGGTCAGAAATTTGCAATTTGGCCAATTTCACGAAAACTAAAAAATATGACAATTTCAAAATAAGGTCCAGAATGAACAATGCAGACATTCCTGGCTCTAAAATAACATTTTCTTTGCTCATCAGTCATGTTTCCAGGCCCCTCTGATATTACTCTTGCTTTCTATTTTGTTTTTTATTCAAACAAAAAAATAGAAGATTACTTTATGCAGATCTGCAATACTGTAATAATTGTATAAATAACATCAACCCATTAGGGTGCATATTAGAAGGGTATTTGGGAACATTTATTGGAAATGGCATCTTTGTTTATTTTTGAACTTTGGAAAAAGTAAAAACATTTCCCTACTTTGAGCTCCTTTTAGGTTTTTTTTTTTTAAGTAAAATCAACAAAATACCTCTATTATATAATATTTTTTCCCCAATTCTATCAAATGAGCCCAAGAAAACAGAATTCACCCCAAAAAATACTATCGAAAAAGCCACAAAGTCGGCATTTTAATTAAAAAAAACGGTTGAGTTTTTTTTTCACTTGCACTGGGTGCCCCAGGATTTTTTTTATATGGGCCACGGGACCACACAGCCCCATTCTCTCACATGGGGGCCCCTACCCTTTTCCGCTTGATTTGAACCCGCTAGAATTTTATGGTAAAAATTACGAAAAAACACGGTCCTGTAAGAGTTTTTTGGCGCGACAGTCAAAAAGGTTAAAAATTCACTCACTCACCCTATTTTCCCTGGAGAGAGTTTGGGGGGGTCACCCCCCGCGGCTTGGTCTGTGACCGGGCCCTTTTGCTAGCATTTTTTTTAATTTTAAATTATCATGCAATCCTGCCTTTTCCTATGTCGTTTGGAGATGCTATCTCCTGCTATTGTTTTTCGTTTATCCCCCCCCCAGTAAAAGTCTCTCAACATCTTCGAGTACTTGTGATCTCTTTTTCAAAAAACATAATTGCCTTTTTGGCAACAACAGTTTCCCTTGAATTGCCATTTTCTTGCCCAAATAGTAGCGAGGGTTTGTTTGGGTTTTGTGACAACCTGGCCAGCTCGGAGACCCCCTCCTCTTTCATATTTTGCAATGATCTCTTTCTTAATCCTAAAAATTCTCCCCCTTTTCTGTAGGGTTGGCACTTGAACCTTTTTGGGGGCCCTGGCAACTTATTTTGCAGGTGCAATCACTAAAAGGCTGTGATAATATAAAAAAGTTCCCGATTGTATGCTTGGAAGCGACCCCGGTGGGTGGTGGCTTGTAAACATGGCCCGAAATGGAGCGTTCAGAGAAAGAATGTGTGGTGGTTTTTTACGCTAGTCGAGGCAAAATTTTTGCGTTAAAATGTACGCTTTTTCGGATTTATCGTTAATTTAGCCATCGTTGTCGAGGGTCCACGATTAACCCTTTTTTTTTTTTTTTTTTTTTTTTTTTTTTTTTTTTTTTTTTTTGTTTTAAAAAATTTTTTCAAAGGGTCGGGGGGGCTGTAAATATGTTCTGGGGTCCCCGATTTGGGGGGAAATTGTGGGGGGGGCTGCCCAAAGTAGCTTTGGGTTCATGTTTTCCCGGTGGCAAGGAAGCTCTCATCCCCACTCGCTTTCGGGCAAATTCGACTCTCCTCTTCACAATTTTCAGTTGTAAAACTGATGGAAGTGGAGCTGAAGAGGAATTCTATGGTTTGAAACCATATGGTCCCTTGTACCTATGTCCCTAGGTAATTGGTTTCTATTCTACAGTGGGTTCATATGGGACAAAGTGCCATATGGTACTTGTACCCTTTGGACTTGTGCCATATATTTTAGGGTACAGGGACCCTAATGCAAATAAGTCTGACTTTTTTGGGTTATCCTGGTTCTCCAACATATGGTGCTAAGTATGATATTCCATGTAACTTTATTTGTGTGTACCTAAATAAATTTACTTACGATGCCTCATGCGCTTGAGCAATTTTATTCTGGTGTACAGAAAATACAATTACATGGATTTTAACATAGCAGCATATGTATAAAAATCCTAGGATAACCCAAAAAAGTCAGGGTGACTTATTTTCCATAGGGATCCTTGTATCTGTACCATATGGTGTCCTGTACTGTATGGTACCCTGTACCTAATACCTTCCCCAGAAAGTAGATAGCCAAGATAGTCAGTTGCATGAGTCTTAGCTTATTTTTATTGATTATCACATTATGATCTTTTAAAATTTGTGAAACATGTCTATTCCTTTTGATAAATGGTATAGTGATACCAACAAGATGTAAAAAAAAAAAAAGACACTTACGTACAGTTCAGGACATTTATTAAAGGAAACATTTTGCCACGTGCAGCTTCTTCAGTCCTAATACAGAGATAACTAAGAAAACAAGTATATATAATGGCAGGAGTCAGGTGAAGTGTTGAGTGGGTGGTAGTGGTAGTAGTAGTAGTAGTAGTAGTAGTGGTAGTAGTAGAAGTAGTGGTGGTAGTAGTGGTGGTAATTATGGTGAGACGGGTTGGGTTAGAGAAGGACATGTTAACATCTTATTTTAGTGGTCTTCTTTGTTGTCCTCTCCACCCTTGGTTCTCCTTTAACCCTTTCACTGCCGGGACCCCTGATTCTAAACTCTAGTTCTGTGTCGAAAAATATTCGAAAAAAAAAATGATTTTTTCTTACCAAAATTTTAAGAATATTTTTGTAAGCATTTTAACCCTTTGACTGTCGCGGCCGTATATATACGTCTTACGAGGTACCGTGTTTGACGTATTTACCTGGAACCTGGAGAGAGTTCCGGGGGTCAACGCCCCCGCGGCCTGGTCTGTGACCAGGCCTCCTGGTGGATCAGAGCCTGATCAACCAGGCTGTTGCTGCTGGCTGCACGCAAACCAACATACGAGCCACAGCCCGGCTGATCAGGAACTGACTTTAGGTGCTTGTCCAGTGCCAGCTTGAAGACTGCCAGGGGTCTGTTGGTAATCCCCCTTATGTGTGCTGGGAGGCAGTTGAACAGTCTCGGGCCCCTGACACTTATTGTATGGTCTCTTAACGTGCTAGTGATACCCCTGCTTTTCATTGGGGGGATGGTGCATCGTCTGCCAAGTCTTTTGTAGTGAGTGATTTTCGTGTGCAAGTTCGGTACTAGTCCCTCTAGGATTTTCCAGGTGTATATAATCATGTATCTCTCCCTCCTGCGTTCCAAGGAATACAGGTTTAGGAACCTCAAGCGCTCCCAATAATTGAGGTGTTTTATCTCCGTTATGAGCGCCGTGAAAGTTCTCTGTACATTTTCTAGGTCGGCAATTTCACCTGCCTTGAAAGGTGCTGTTAGTGTGCAGCAATATTCCAGCCTAGATAGAACAAGTGACCTGAAGAGTGTCATCATGGGCTTGGCCTCCCTAGTTTTGAAGGTTTCTCATTATCCATCCTGTCATTTTTCTAGCAGATGCGATTGATACAATGTTATGGTCCTTGAAGGTGAGATCCTCCGACATGATCACTCCCAGGTCTTTGATGTTGGTGTTTTCGCTCTATTTGTGGCCAGAATTTGTTTTGTACTCTGATGAAGATTTAATTTCCTCATGTTTACCATATCTGAGTAATTGATATGGTAAAGGTGAGTGTAATATTATTTTACATATTTATGTACTTGACTTCCCCATTGTTTTCTGTATGTAAATCTTTATTTAATTTGAATTTTTTTTTTTTTTTATATTTTTGGGTTTCTGGAACGGATTAATTGTATTTTTCCCTTATTTCTTATGGGAAAATGGTTTTGCCATTCATGAATTTTGACTTTCAGCAGACTCTCTGGATCAGATTAATCACAAAAAATGAGGGTCCACTGTATGCCAGAAATGTTATAAATGGTGCAAAAGTGACATTAAAACAATATCGAAGATGGTTGACACACTCACTACCATTATAGTATGCTCCTCACTAAGCGACGAATTTGGTTAAACGGCATGGTCCTAGGAACGAAACTCCGTTGTTAAGTGAGGACAGGCTGTACTTTAACAAACAAGCTCTGAATCATATATAATATACACTAGTTACTTTTTGTGGCATTTAGTTCCTTTGGTTTCAAAATCAAATAAATTATATTAACAAGTAATAACTTTACTTTTTAATTTACAAATGACATCAAATTGTTTGCAACATGTGATACAAATGCGAGAAAATTACTTTAAAATCAAGGTAGCGAATACAAGAGAATTTTTTTTTAAGTTTTGAAGAATCTAGGTTGACGAAGCTTAAGACATAATGAGGACTGACTTATTTCTTGTCCAGACTGATACTTCGAGGTTCAGAAAATGGTCCTAACCGACTTTTGATATCCACTGCTCTTACTGCAAAGTGATACACATGGCCAGGCATAAACTGTGTTAGTGTACAAGCCATAGGTAATTCCAAGGCTTTTACACTTCCCACTCTCTTCCACAAGTTGGCACTTGGGGGTGCAGCACCTTCCTGATAAGCATATAGCTGGTAACTAGCAATAGCCTCATGGTCTTCAGTTTTTGACATGGTCCATGAAAGAACAATACTGCTGTCCTTGTGTGAGAGTTTCAAGGTGGGCTGAGGAGGGAGTTTTTTAGATAAGCCACCCACCTGCTGGAATGGTGTTCTTGGCAGAGGGGCAGGATGCCGCATCTGAGTAACTTGGGGCAAGGTAGATGTTGTGGTTCTAGGTGCAGTGTTTACAACGGACCCCATAACACGAGAGTTATTAGTTGTATGGCTTCCTAGTGAACCTATACGAGCCTGAGCTACGGTTGGGTTTGTCATGCTGTCCAGCGTCGTCATTCCAGTTGACACTTGACTAACAATAAGAGCCGCAGTGGGTTGCCCACCGGACATTTGTGGAAGCAGGACAACTTGCCCAACACCTCCTGCCTGTTGTAAAGGAAGAAGTTGAGCGGTGCCTGACGTTGGTACTTTGACAAGCGTACCAGGCTTAGGAACAATGCCTGCGGGTCTTCTGTTGCCTTCATCTTCATCAGTGAGGTCAATAACTCCACTGCCTCTGCTACTCAGTGGCGTCTGCAGGACTGATGTAGTGCCTGTGATAGCCTTGTCGTTTTGTAACAACACTGGTCTCTGAGTGCTTAATAAGGTTCCTGTTGATGGGACTACCGAGGTCAATCCACCTATGGGAGCTCGGACAACTCTTCCTTGAGCAACAGGAAGAACACTTGTAGCAGAGCTGACCACACCTGCATTAGAAGCTCTGGGCAATGCTTGCATGGCACCTGTGGGTGTCATCATGAGCATCTGACCTGCAGTCGGTCGGACAGTACTCAATCCGGACGTGGAGGTGGCCACAGCAGCAAGACTCGCAGCACTGGCTATGTTGGTTATTGTCTGTTGCCGACCAACACCAGATTGAGGGGGAGTAAAAATTCCTACACTCTGTGCAACAAGCAGGAGAAAGCTGGTAGGCCCATATGTGAGAGAATGGGTCTGTGTGGTCAGTGTGCACCATATAAAAAAAATCCTGGAGCACGCAGTGCATAGTGAGAAAAAAAAAACTCAGACCGTTTTTTTTAATTAAAATGCCGACTTTGTGGTCCATTTTCGTATAGTATTTATGGCTGTATTCTCGTTTTCTTGGTCTCATTTGATAGAATGGAAAAACATATTATAGAAATAGAGGTGATTTTGATTGATTTTACTATAAAAAGAAAACCCCGAAATGGAGCTCAAAAGTAGGGGGAAATGTTTGATTTTTGCCCAATGTTCAAAAGTAACAAATGATTTCCATTGTCCAATAAATGTCCAACTAGCCCCTTCTAATATGCAGTCATGAATGGGTTGATGTTTATTTATACAATTATTTACAGTATTGCAGTTGTCTGCTTAATAGTAAGTCTTCTATTTTTTTTTTGAATAAAATTCAAAATAGAAAGCAAGAGTAATATCAGAGGGGCCTGGAGACTTTACTGATGAGCAAAGAAATGTTATTTTAGAGCCAGGAATGTCTGCATTGTTCATTCTGGAAAATTATTTTGAAATTTTCTATTTTTAGTTTTCGTGAAATTGGCCAAATTGCAAATTTCTGACCACATTATTAGGTAGTTGAAATCAGTAAATGGGCAGTTTCTTGTACTCAATCGATGGAAAAAATGGAGTTCTAAAGAAGTAGCTATGAGTTTTTGGGGGACTGGAACAATGGAATTAGCCGAAAATAGGGCTAAAGTGGGCGAAATCGCCGATTTGTAAACAAGCTCTGAGGTCGCTAACTTCGCTAGAGCATATTCCATCAGTTTTTCCATCAAATTTCGTTTTTGTGGTGTCATTATCAATCGGGAGAAGATTCTATATCATTTTCATAAGAAAAAATAATTTTTTTTTTTAATTTTGTGGGACACCGGAGACACCTCAGGATGGGGGGTGCAACAGTCAAAGGGTTAAAGAAAAAAATTTAATCAATAACTTACTGAGATATAAAGGCATGAAGACGACAGTAAGTGAACACTTATGGCTACATCAGCGACTGCTGCCTCAATCGTATACAGTAAACCATCATTTGTACCCAGTAGTTACGTTCCTGAAAATGCTGTGTTAGGAAACTGTGGGTAGTGAACTGATGGACTTACCCGGGAAAATAGTGTTACATTCCTGGGAGCCCAAAAAAGCCAAACAACTCTTTTTTAGCCTCATCATCTTACAAAATAAAAAAGTATGAATATGTAATTGTTGTTCTTTGTCATGATGTATTGTGTTGTTGGTACTGCATAAAATACAAATTCAACAGAAATATATAGTATTTCTTACCTTAAATTGTGGGTGTGGTGTTTGTGGATGTTGGGAGAGAGTGGAGGAGTTATGCTATGGCGCTACTGGGTGAGGTGGATGGTAGAGGTTTGGTACTGAAGTCGAAGGTTGTACTAGAGTGTGCATAAATTATGTAATGAATTTCTGTTTTGTTATACCTTACGTTCATTTGCAGTGACGTAAGGCATCAGATGTTCTAGGACACTGTTTCAGGGTCCTACTTCAATGAAAAAGTCTAACTTGAAGTCATTCATTCAGTTCACGTCATTCAGGTCAGTCAAGTCTTCAGTCAGTCAAGTCATGCAGTCAGTCAAGGTCTTCCAGTCAGTCAAGTCAGTAAGTCAGTCAATGTCAGTAAGTCATTCAGTTATTCAGTAAGTCACGTAAGTCAGTCTGGTCAAAGTCAGTAAGTCAGTAATTCAATCATAGTCATTCAGTCAGTCAAGTCAGCTCAGTCTGTAAGCCAGTCAGTCAAGTCAGTAAGTATTCAGGTCAAGTCAGTAAGTCATTCAGTAAAGTCAGTAAGTCAGGTCATGTCATTTAGTAAGTCAGGTCAAGTCATTCAAGTTCGTTCAAGTCATTCAGTCAGTCAAGTCATCCAATCAGTCAAGTCATTCAGTATGTCAGTCAAGTCAGTAAAGTCACTCATGTCATTAAGTCAGTAAGTCAGTCAGTCAAGTCAGTAAGTCATTCAGTAAGTTAATAAGTCATTCAGTCATTCAGTAAGTCATTCAGTCATTCAGTAACCCAGTCAAGTCATTTAGTATGTCAGTCATTCAGTCGTCAAGTCATTCAGTCAAGTCCATTCAGTCAGTCAGTCAAACAAACTCATGTTCGCCTCATTTTATGTGCACAAAGCGAGCTTCATTATGTCCACAGGTTATCTCTTGTCTAATATCTCTGTTTCCTTCGTTAATTCTAAGACTTAACCCTTTCAGGGTCCATGCCATAGTTCTACGGCTTTGATTGATTGTACATAAAACATGTGTTTGGTTGACAAATGTGACATGCAGGTTGGCTTTGTCGATTGTGTTTGTAAGAGTTACAAGTGGTACATGAAACTTTTCTTCCATCTCATGGAACATTTCATGCTAACTGCATGTAATATGTACCAATAAAGTCTGGCAAAAGACCACGGTATGGGAATTTTGTTTGTCTGTCGTCAGACAATAATAATGAAATACCAGTAACAACCACCTGCTGTACAAAATGTCCTCGAACTGCTCAGGACAATACCCAAGCATTTGAGGAGAGAAGGTGATCACTTCCTAATACAGCTTCTGTAACTAAAGAAGAATGGCTCAGAAGTGATGTGGTGTCTGTGCACAAACAAAACGATGGGAACAAATATGCAAAAAGGGGGACACTCAGATTATGTGCGAGGAATATAATATACCATTGTGCATGATACCTTGTTTAAAGGACTTCCACAGACTGCATCAGTTCTAGAAACATGTCCAGTGGACTGTACATATGAGAATTATAATAGAAACATTAGTAATGTACATTGTGCATGCTTATTGTTGTAAACAATACTGGTAAGCAAATATAATTAATTTATTTATTTATTATTATTTGGACATGATAATAGTTGTACAAAAGTATACAAGATTGGTTCAGTGTATCATGCCAAAAGCTTTTGCTATGGCAGAGCATTATGGGCAGGTCTATAAAATTAACTTAGGATTAACTAAGCAATGTTATTTTCAGTTGGTAAAAATACAGTAAACAAATTACAACTGGAAGTACAAATGAGTAATTCAAATAAGAGGCTTTATAGTTGTACTTTAGTTGTACTTTAGTGCAGTTATATATATATACACATTATATACAGTATTGGTCTCACAGGCCACAAATGTTACTAGAAAAAGAAAAAAATTAGAAAAGAAAAGAAAAAAATACGAAAAAGTAAATAAACAATGTGACTTTGTGGAAGTCACGGATGTTGCCATCACCTGGTCATTTTGGGTCAGCTTCACGCCTCTATATGGCAGTAAGTACTGATCAGACTTTTTTTTTGTTTCATTACCTTCACAAAATTATTATTTTTAATTTGTAAGAAAAATATATTTTCTGCTTTTCAAAAATTCTTGGTACACTGGCACACCATTGAAAATTTGGCCTCTTGACCTGAAAGAGTTAAATGTTTATACCTTTTCTTGCCACTTTCATCAACACTGCTTGGCAGATTGCAAGATATGGTAATTAAAAGATGGAAACACAATTCATAAACACAGTGTGCTTGTAGCAGAGGAAGAGGAAACTGGACACGTATGTGTATGAATGCTGGGTTGATGTGTCGGAGTGTCGGGGGGGGGGGGGGTCCCTGTAGGTAACGGCAGGGGATGGTGGGAGGTCTTCCCTGCTGATCCAAAACAAGGCGGAGATTGAGGAAAAGGGATTTTTTACCCTCCTGCAAAACTGAATCGTGTTTAAATTAATTTTACAGAGTGTTGTATAAAATTGTGCCACAATTCTTCAGTCGTTGCTATACCCAAGATCTTGCCAAATAAACTCTTGTTAAATGATGATCTACTGTATTGTTATTACTTTCACACCATTCAGGGATCATTGTGTGAGCTGAGTGTGTACATAACCATAGTACAGTTTACCAGTGGTGGCACTAAAGGAATGTAGGGAGCTGGAAGCACCCTGTAACAAGCCATTACCACAAAATTAAAATAATTTTGAAGACAAGCCTCTCTTAGCTACCCCTCCTTTCCCTTCAAGCTAGATTGCCATCCCTAAAACTCTTATATATAAATTCTAGATTCCACCCCTGAGTTACAGCCTCTCCACATTAGTGACGTTACTCATTTACTTGATGACTCGGACTTGCGATGGGCTGTCTGACAGTATTCATACCTAAAATAATGTATATCAGAGCCTGATGTCCTCTATTCTGTTTATTTCAGTATTACAGTTACTACTATAATAACATTTAAAAATACACCTTCATCCGACTTACAACAAGCTTGGTTCCGACAACGGTCGTAAGTTAAAATGGATGTAAGTCGGACTTTGAAAATTGCTGACATACTGGGGTTGGACCTAGTGTCAAACCTTTCCTATATAAACTACAGTGGACCCCGCATAGCGGAACGCCTTGCATCGCGAACAATCGCATAGCGAACGCTTTGTTCGCTAAAATTTTGCCCGCATAAGCTGGACAAAAACCGCCTCGCGGGACCTTCGCCGAGTCGCGTCCAATGTGACACCCCTCAGCCGCCTCACATTGTGCCGGCCGTCCCATTGGTTACCAGCCACCCTCCGCGGAAACATTCAAAGGCATACACTCGGAATATTTCGTATTATTACAGTGATTTCGGTGTGTTTTGGAAAATAAGTGGACCATGGGCCCAAGAAAGCTTCTAGTGCCAACCCTAGCACCTCAAAGGGTAAGTATCCCATTGAAATGAGGAAAGAGATAATTGATAAGTATGAAAGTGGGAGTACGTATCCAACGACCGGTCAGGTTGTCAGAAAAACCAAATCAACCATCGTTCTATTGTGGGCAAGAAAACGGGCAATCAAGGAAGCTGTTGTTGCCAAAGGTTTAACTGTGTTTTTCGAAACAAAGAGCGCAAAAGTGATGGAAGATGTTGAGGACTCTTATTGGTTGTGGATAATGAAAAAACAGTAGCAGGAGATAGCGTCTCTCAATCGATATATGTGAAAAGGCTAGAAGTTGCATGTCGATTTATTAAAAATAATGCCTGAAACTAGTGATTGATGTGAGGAATTTAAGGCCAGCAAAGGTTGGTTTGAGAGATTTAGAAGCGTAGTGGCTCATTAGTGTGATACGGCATGGTGAGGGCTGCCAGTTCGGACCCACAAAGACGGGCTGAAAAATATGTGCATGAATTCAAGGAGTACATAGAAAAACTGAAGGACTGGAACCTGAACAGTGTTTAATTGTGATGAAACAGGCCTGTTCTGGAAGAAATGCCAAGCAGGACCTACTTTTGACTCAGGAGGAAAAGGCACTCCCAGGACATAAGCCTATGGAAAGACAGGCTTTCTATGTTGATGTGTGCCAATGCAAGTGGTGATTGCAAAGTTAAGCCTTTATTAGTGTATACTCTGAAACTCCCAGAGAGTGCAGGCAAAAGAATGTCCTCACGGATAATTTGTGTGTGCTGTGGAGGGCAACAGTAAGGCATGGTCACTAGGAATTTTTCTATAACTGGTTACAACCAAGCATTTGCCCCCAATGTGAAAGATTACTACCTGAAAGAAATTAGACCTTAAGTGCCGCTTGGTGTTAGACAATGCCCCTGGTTTCTCTACAGACGTGGCAGAGCGGACTTTATGGGGACATGAGCTTCATTAAGGAAGTGAAGTTTTTGCCCCTAATACACTCCTCTCCTGCAGCCCATGGACCAGCAGGTCATTTCCAACTTCAAGAAAAACTGTACACAAAAGCTCTGTTTCAAGTTGAAGTGCTTTGAAGTGACCAAAGACACTCGATTGACTCTATAAGAGTTTTGTGAAGGATCACTTTAATATCCTCAATTGTGTA